TCTGTTGGTTGGTCCGAGTACTTGAGTGACAGTAGCAGGGAACTCCAGAATACCTACAGGATTTACCAAGGGAATTGGATATTTATCTCTGAAGGACAACTTAAAACCAAAATATATAATTACATCCATGATCTCAGCTAAAAGCTGTTTCAAGAACTTCTCTAAAATAATGCAGTACTACAGTCAGCATGCTTTTCTGAAATTTTATAATATGGACATACATTAAACAAAAAATTACCTCCAGGCAATTAAAAATCCTTTATATTTTACCTACAGGAAAACAGAAAATTAAGAACAAAAACTTGGCAGAACCCTTTTATTTAAAAAAAAAAGTCATTTTGCATATGAGAAAATTTTTAAACAAGAATATAATGACAGAGAGACACCTATACCAGATTGAAGAAAATCTTCCAGAGCCTTGCAAGACTTTCTAAGATTCAGTTCCCCTCACTGTCCTTTATTTGCTTGGGCAATCACACGAAGCCTCAAATTTAGCTGAACACTCCAGTTTTTGTTAAGCATTTTGACAAGATGAACCTTCATGAGCCACTGCAGTCCTGCATTCTGCCCCACACTGCTGAAGCCCTGGCTGCCTCCAGGGGAGATCCTGAAGGAATGATGAGCTCAGCTCTGCCCCAGGAGTGCTCTGCCCCAAGCTTGGCTCCCCTGGCTCCTCTCTGGCCGTGATCCCAGCGTTTTTCCACAGGCACAGCACAGACATCCCAACGCATGCATGGGATTCATACAATAGCAGGAGGTCAGTCAGAGCTCTGTGCTGCAGTCCAAGCCTGGTAACTCATCAGAGCTGAGATCAAAAGATTAATGGATAATCAGCTTGCATTATTAACAATATAGTAAACAAAACGAACAGAAACGACCAATCCTCCCCTTAACTTTTTATTTCCTTACTTTTCCAGGCTAGGATCACGGGAATGTGTCCTGCTGCAGCCTGACCTGACACTAAACATCAGTTTTGTTTAATAAGTAAAATGCAGGAGCTATGGATCCACCACATCTTACCTGGATGATGTCTTTGGTTGTTACCTGTTTAAACACCCTTCACAGCACACTAAACTTGTTTTTTCTTTTTGTATCAGTTGAATTCTTCAAGAGACTCCTGATAGTTAATGGAGACAACACACATATCTTTCTATGCCCTTTCTCCTCCACTCATACATGGATCGTAGTGGAAATTTATAACTTAAATTTCATTAGGAAAAACGAATTAAGATTTATGTTTGGGTTCAATCATGTTAAAGCTCTCTTCCAACCAAAATTATTCAGTGATTCTAAGCTAAAGGAGGCTGTTATCAAGTTAGAGTACTACAAAACTGAAAAGCAGAATTTAATGATGTTCACAAACAAGAAAAAAATACTCATAATTGAATTTTGTTAAACCTCACAATAAACATTTTACAAAGAAAAGTGACAAAGGAAGGTTGAAGACAAGCAATATAAGCAAGCCATCCAAAATCTCACATGGAGATGGCAGGAGACAAAAGGATGTGTATTTGTTAACATCATAATTACAGGGAGGATTATCTTCATTTTAACATTATAGAATCATGAAATATCCAGAGTTGGAAGGGACCCACAAGGATCATCCAAGTCCAGCTCCTGGCCCATCCACAGGAATCCAACTATGTGCCTGAGAGCATCATTCAAGCGCTCCTTGAGCTCTGTCAGGCTTGGAGCTGTGACCACAGCCCAGAGGAGCCTGTTCCAGTGCCCAACCACCCTCTGGGGGAAGAACCTTTTCCTGATATCCAAACTAAAGCTCTCCTGACACAACTTCATGGCATTCCCTCGGGTCCTGTCACTGTCAACACAGAGCAGAGATCAGTGCCTGCCCATGCACTACTCTTTGTCAGGAAGTCATGGAACTTCCTACTGTATTAACAGTTCAGGTTGTGGCCCCACAAGAGCCCTTGACCAGGATCTTGATGGACTTAGAACTCAAATTCCTTCCCAGACATTTCTCTGCCATTTTCCAGCCAACTGAGCTTTGAGTAACAGCACGTCCAGTCAGATTTTTAAAAAAGAATCATCCATTCCCTTCAATACCTTTATTGCAGGTTATTCCCACTGCATTTACTAAGTTAAACCTGTGGAGAACCTAAGTTTCACTCACAGGTAAGGCCTAGTAGAGATGGCTGGCAGTGTGTGTTGCCTTCAGTTTTTATAATTAATCATGCAAGGTGGTAAAAAATCAAAGGATGTGTGTCCCAGTGTGGAATTCTGGTCAGCAGCACAAAGAAGCCACTAGGATTAGAGTCACACAGGCATTTGAAGATTGGGAGGCTCTCTTCTGCTTTTCGGGGTTTTGGGTGGTTTTGGTTGCTTATTGTGAGTTTTTTAGTATTTATAAGGTACATGTGTGCAATGTATGTTCCCTTGCAAGTTGTGACAGCCAACCTGCTTGTCACAGATACAAGGACAGAGGGTGGCTGCACAGCCTGAACTTGTAGCCAGGGCTCATAGAGCAAAGAGCAATTTTTCTGTGCAGTCCTCCTGATGTTACAGGAAAACATTTTGTTCCTGAAGAACCTTTAAGGGTGAAGCCAAAATGTGGCCTGAGTTTAAACTGTCTACCTTTCCTTGGAAAATGTGTCAGAATCTGCCATGAATAGCTTGAAGGAGGCATCAGCGTGCATGAGATTTGAATGGGCTTGGGGAATTGTATACATCACAACGGGGCTGGTAAAAGCTCTCCTGGTTATTCTTGGTCTCCGGAGCCACGAGGTTTTTTGTCTCTGCACAGAGAATGGATTTCGCTAGAAGCAAGAACAATCCTGATGGCATTCTCTCTGCAGGCTTTGAGCCCATCCCCCAGGCAGTGACTGCAGATCCCGGGCAGAAACTGGGGTCATTCACAGCATCCAGGGCTGAGCACCCTGGGAGCACCACTGCATCCTACACAACTGGAACCCACTGGGAAATGTCTTGTGTTGGGCAAGGGGTCCTTTCTGATCCCAGAAAAGATACCACAAGCCCAAAAGGGCTTTCCCTGGGTCTTTCCTAAACTCCTTCCTTGCCACTTGTCACATCACCCTGACTTGGCAGGAGGGGTGCAAAAGGAGGCAAACAGAAGTTGCATGTAGAACACAATGCAGCTTCTAATGTTAATCTTTTAGAAGTGCTAATTATATAAACCTCCCTGTTCTGAAAGGAAATTAATATAATTGTTTGTACAGACACAGGGAAAGTCATCTGAGAAGTGCTGCTATTTTTAACTGATCATAGTTAAAAATAGGGAAACCAAATATTAAGAATTCGAGCAACAAAATGTACAAAACCAGCCAGGCTCACACAGCCTGAGCAAAACTTTCTGATCACCTCCTTTACCTTATTGGCATCTGACTGGGAAAAGTCAACACTTCGTTATCAATTGGAAAGTGAATACCAAACCCACCAATTTTATGCTTAAACAAGAAAACTCTCAAGATGCACAGTGTTTGTCAAAACAAATCATAAAGAGACAAATCTGTGTTCCATACAGGAACGTATCTGTTGAAAATCTTAAAGAAAGCAATATATTACTAGTTCTGTCTGGCATGCTGTCACCGGCTTATCACTATGGCAAATGTTTGTAATAAAAATCATTTAATAAGCAAACAACCACTTTATACACTAGTGTTCTAGTTTTACATGCTTATTGCAATTTCAGAGAGGACTAAAGAAAGGTCTTGTGGAAGATATGTTTTTCTCTTTTTTGGTATGTTTGTAAAGGCAGGTGTAAATAAGGGGTTTAATTAAAATCCTAAATGCCTATTCCATAAAAACAGCTTTAAGACGTGGGGAAAAGTGGATTTTTTTTCCATTCTAATTGCCTGTCTTGTGTATTGGCAGTGTAAGAGTACAAGTGAAAGGCTGTAAATACTTTCAAATAATTTGTTTTCAATTTTATTATTTATAAATTATGTTCACTGATGCTTTCTTGATTCATATTATGACAACACTCCTGAAGCTGCATTTGCTGTGCCACCTTTATGTTATGGCTGCACATAATTTAAAAAAAAGTAATAAAATACAATTATGTGGCTTTTATCCCATTGAAACCCCACCAATGCATTGAAGGAGGGGGCACACCAGGGATCACATTTAATTTTTTCCAATGTTTCACAGCTCATGCTGGCTTTAACCTTTGTACTTTGAGGGGCCTTGTGTTTGTTTTTTTCTGGTTATTAATTTTTATGGGGCTCATGGCACGTAGCTGCTGTCCAACCATGCCTGCAGCCACTGCTCTGTTCCTCACGCACAGCTGGAGATATGGGGAAGGTTCTGGGGTTCTAATCCCCATTACTGGGATCAACGAGCCCCTCATGGCACAGGCTTCAATATTGTGTGCAGGTTTAGGCAGCACAATACAAGAAAGGTATTGAACTATTGGAGAGAGCCTAAAAGAGGGCAATGAAGACGGAGAAGGGATGGCCATGTGAGGAGGCGCTGAGGGCACTGTGTTTGTTCAGCCTGGAGAAAAGGAGACTGAGGGGAGACCTCACTGCAGTCACAACTTCTTTGTGAGGGGAAGAGGGGCAGGCACTGATCTCTGCTCTGTCGTGACAGTGACAGGACTGAGGGAATGGCCTGAAGTTGTGTCAGGAGAGGTTAGGCTGACTATTAACAAAAGGTTCTTCTCCCAGAGGGTGGCTGGGTACTGAACAGGCTCTCCAGGCCACTGGTCACAGCACCAGTCTGACGGAGATGAAGAAGCGTTTGGATAACGCTCAGGCACATGGTGGGATTCCTGCGATACCCTGCGCAGGGCAGGGAGCTGGATTCGATGCTCCTTACCGGCCCCTTCCAGCCCGGGACATTCCGCATTTCCCAAATGCAGACCCCCAACCCCGTCCCCTCAGGTCTTCCCTCAGGGACACACGGGGGGGGGCGGGAGGCGCATGCGCGGAGCGGCCGCGAGGGGGCGGCACCGCGGCGGGGAGGGGCGGGGCTCGAGCGGCCGCTGGGGGCGCAGCGGGGAGGCCGCGCGCCGCCTCACCACCGGCCAACATGGCGGCGCGGCGGCCCCGCTCCGCCTCAGGTCAGTGCTGGCCCCTTCCTGACGGGAGCGGGGAGGAGGCGGCGCGGCGGGCGCCCTTCCTCCTCTCGGGGGCGGCGGGCAGCCCCCTCCCGCTGCCTGCGCTGCGTCCCGGGGGCGGGGAGGGATGGCCCGGGCTCTGCACCTCCCCAGTCCGTTCGTGTCCCCCCTCCGTCGCGCGGCCCGGCGCATCGGCCCCGGCATCACCGGCATCACCCGGGCTAAAGCTCCTTCCCGGGATGTAACCACCGAAACCCTTTCTAGCCAGGCCCGCAGACAGAACGAGTGCTGGCCCAGCCGGAGCCGGGGGGATGCGGGACGGGAAGCAGGAGGCTCCAGCCCCCATGGCCGCCGCATCCTTCACCGTTGGGGGCTCTCAGGGCATCGCTGTGGCCTCGTCGTGCGGCGCCTCTCGGCACTGGCACAGTTCGATGTGCTTGGGGAATGTCCAGAACATCATTTGCCGCATGCAGGGAGTATTTTTCATCACTAGAAAACGCTCTGGCTGTGTTATTTCCCACAGAACGTGTTATACTTGTGTACACCAGTTTTGGTTTAAATAATAATAATTTAAAGGCAGAATTAGCATAACTGTTCATGACGGTGTTTCAATATTCTCCATCTAAAGAAGTTAAACTTGTCCTTGATATCTCAAAGAAAGAACATTCAATAACAATTTTTCAGCATTATGGATATTTCTATTCATTTTTTAGTACTCAAGAACACTTAAGTTGAAATAATTCACACCTACATGTGTATTTCTTGCATCTTTGAAGTTTTTACACCTGATAGAAAAAGCTGTCAAAATTCTAATAAAATTTTTATATCTACAGCCTTACTTTAATTCTAGATAATAATTCTAGGTAATAATTTAGCTGTTCCTCTTTTCTGAAATGCCCCACTCGTATTGCTGAAATTAGATTTAACCTCAAATATATTTAAATAAAGTGTAGTTCAGTATATGTCACAGAAAGTGATACACGCTTAAAATATTTTTCTTTAAAAATCTAGACCCATCCCTTTACTTTGATGTTCGACTATACATGGTGTTGAGGATCTCTTAATTTGAAGTTGTAGGATGCCTGTTTTGAAAACATTGACAGAATTGTCCTAGGAAAATAGAACTTAACTGAAGTCCTAGCATCATCTGGTTCATTTGTTGTGGAAAAGGAACAGAAATTGCTTCCTGCCTTTGGGGCAAATGATGTTTGGTCCTCTGAGGAGCACAGTGGGCCAGAAATTCCTAATCTTTCCAAGTGTTGGTCTACCCTTTGGTTTTTGTTTGTGTTGGGTTTTTTTTGTTTGTGTTGAATGAGCTAACTGGTAATTTTATCTGATGCCTCTTGGTTCCTATACTTGAACAGGTAGGGGATTCTTGTAGTGCCAGTCATGGATTTTATAGATTATACCACCTCTGTAGCCTTCTACACCTTACCTTGATGATGGCACAGAATCCCAAAATCCAGTTCTGCGAGCTGCTGGACTGTCGGTAGCTTATACAGTACAATGTAAACCATTGGACTACCCAATGCCCAAACTGGATTTTCACATAAATTGTTAATTTACTGTGTAACTGAGGAAATGACTTTTTTTAAATTGCTTTTTCTTTTTCAGACCATGACAGTGATGATGATTCCTATGAAGTGCTGGATTTAACAGAATATGCCCGACGTCACCATTGGTGGAATCGTGTGTTTGGCTGGAACTCAGGACCAATTGTTGAAAAATATTCTGTAGCCACACAGATTGTAATGGGAGGTGTGACTGGCTGGTGAGGGAGCTTCCCTTTCCATAACTGACCTAGACATTTTACTCTTTTAGAAGATGCATTTCCATTTGAAGCAGATAAATATATCTTTAATGGGATTTCCTTTAGCATTGATCAAGATTATTCATGTGTGAATTATTTTAGCTTGTTACTCTGACTCATCATTATGAAGTGTTTTTTTAATACTGGTGTTTCACCAATATCCAAGGGAACTCGTTCTAGTTACTGTGGAAAGTATTTGGGAAAATGTCAGAGCTCCAAAATTACAAGAAATAAAAGAAAAATTACTGCATATAGCTTTTCTTTTGTATGGAAAAGATTATTTCCTTACTAGTCTAGATTTAGAAACTTAGTTATATTATGGCTGGGACATACTTTACAGGTAAAAGAAATGAAGGGGGAAAAAAAGGATGGCAAAATACACTTTTAATGAAGAGCCCCATTTCATGGAGACTGTTTTTTCCTCTAAATTGAACTTCAGCCATTTTGAGCAAGTTCACAGTTTGCTCTGATGTTATCTGAAGGGAGATACCATAGCCTAGTTATACTAGAATAATTCATGGTGAAAGCTAGACAGTGAAGATGAGAACTTAAACTGGAAAATGTGGTCACAGCCTGAGCAGCTGTGTCAAGGTATTTGTTATGTGTCAGAGGTATTTGAATGGTTTTTGTTTATTCCAGTACACAGAAAAACTGTAAATTCATTGAGAAACACCATTATGGTAGCACAGTGACTTTTAAAGAGGGATTATGCAAGAATTGGAAGATGAAATAGACTAAAAATGAAATTGTTGTACCCAATTTGTGGAGTGAGGTTTAGCTTTCAGTCTAAGTTTGCTTCTGTAGCCTTAAAATTATTTTTAAAAAGTTGTATGTGTACGTGTAAACTCAGAAGTTTCTAGGGAATAGTTCATCTGGCATCCATAAAAACTGGCTTATTGAATGATCTGGAAAATGCACATTTCAGTATCTGTAGATGCACATCTCTCTGGGTGCCTTCTGATGTATATAAATAAGAATTCACTATTCATATGCAGGGGGGAAAATTCCCCTCTGTGTGTGGGCCAGTGTTTAGACACACTGGAATTGCCCAGGGAAGTAGTGGAACCATCAGCATTAAAAATTCTTGGCTGATTCAGAGCACTTGGCAGCCTGATTGAGCTTTGAGATTGGACTGGGCTCTGCAGCAGTTTTGGGAAGGTGACTGGCCCAGGTGACCTCCAGGGGCCCCTTCCTGTCTTATCACTCCTCTGTAATGTCAGCGTCTGTGCTCTTCTCCATTTGATGAGGGAGGGTTGGGAGACTGAGAACAAGGTAATTTTCTGGTTGCCTTTTTCTATTAAAAATAGACTTAAGGCCATGTCCCAGCAGAGTGGCCTCACTGAGTTTAAATCTTGTGGTAGGGATGCTGCTTTTTACTGAGATCTTTCAGTTATGAGTTGTGTAGTTAATATAAATTATGGTATAATGTATTTACATTCCACTTGGGAACGGTTATAGCAGCACTGTTACATAATTATGTTGTGCTTTATTAACATGCTACATTTAATAGCAGTAAGATCTAGAGATCTCAAGGTTACTTTAAAGGAGCCATCAGACAGCTAGGAACAAGCAACCATTAATCACATGTCTTGTTTTAGACATTGTTAATTTAATATTGCTTGCATTAACTAGCCTTGATTTTTAAATTTGTAAATATTAAATGAAACGTTTGCTTTATAAAATGAAATAATAGTAATAGTTGCAGTCAGGAATTGTGTAGTGTGGCATTGTTCAGCAGAAAACTTCATTGGACTGGGTTTGTTTTTTTTGTTTTATTCCCCTAAGGTGTGCGGGATTTTTGTTCCAGAAAGTCGGAAAGCTTGCAGCAACTGCAGTAGGTGGTGGCTTTCTTCTGCTTCAAGTATGTAGCATTTCATGCTTTATAAGTTGGCAAATGTTATTTACTGAACAATAGGAAAAACACAGCTGTTGGGTAACATTTAATTAGGAAGGCTTCTTATCTACTTCATCTTTTTAGTCTTATCAGTCAAAACCTTACATTTGAGCTGGAATATTGTGTACAAATGTACAAAACAGACATTTTTAAAAATTAGTTGTAAGTCAGAATCTACTCTGTCCTGTAAAGTAGTTTGTTGTAAGACAAAAGAACTTCTGTGCAGAAGCTAAGGTACTGTGCATGATTCGATGTTGCCAGATGAGAAGAACCTATGATTAGGGCGAATATAAAATATGTTTGTTTTACATTGGTTTGAGAATTTTAACAGAGCTTTAGGCTGCTTTGGCAGTTGCCTGGAAGGCTTGTTCTGGTCCCAGCATGAGCCGTGTTTTTCTGTTTTCCCCCCTTGCCGTGTTTTATCTATTGAACCTCTAAAACCTGGCTGAATTTTGACAGCTTCATTGCATTCCTCTCTGCTGGCTTTCAGGTTCAGAAGTTTTTAATTATGTTATATAGCATGATCATTTGCATTTTTCATCAGATACTGTGATTAGGCGAGGATATATTTCCAAAAAACCTTTAAATTAGATGAAACTTTAAGTGAAGGAGAATTTCATGTGTCCTTCTATAAGATGCCAGGATTTTACTGGCATTTTTCATGTCTTAATACCTGTGAGCTTCTCATTTTTCCTCAGATTGTTCTAGGGGATATAGATTGATGCTTACTTAGGCTCAATGATACACAATTTCTTGAGAGAAGAGGTTAAAGATATATTTATTCTTTCTAGCATCACCCTGGAGGGTTTCTGAAAGGCATATCCTGCTTTCATTTCTTTTGATGGTAGTGGCTGGTGATCAGGAAGGGTGGGGTAGTAACTGCTGCTGTGTAACGCACTGAAATGTTGCTGTTGTGTGAAGTACACATGCTTCCTTCATAATCATGGTCCCTACTGGTTTGGGGGCTAGTTTGGTTTTTTCCTTTTCCCATGTTTTGTATGCCATTGGTCTTAATTCTTCTAATGATAATTATTTTATCATATGACTGAAGAGCTACCAGAACAGAGGCACCCGGGGTGAAGGCAGCAGATTGCTGTAGGTGCCTTCCTCAGTGCTCCTGATGACAGGAAGCTGAAAAGTTAAAGCTGAGACCTGTAGACAAAAGAGAATGGAAATTGAATAAAACACGTCACTTGTGCAGGATTTTTGCTTCTTGAGCTGTGAAGTTTGGGGAGCTTTCCTGTACATGCAATAGATTTGCCACGTGGTTGAGTGTCTGATTTCTTGGTTGATCTCATTTACGCTGAATCCAAAAAGGAATATTTTCCAAGAGGAAATATGAGTTAAGTATTTTGATTGGATTGTCTATATCTTAAGTAAGATCAGATTCTCTTGAAAGGAAATGAAGTAAATGCCTTGGTCTCTCTTTTAATTCAAAACATTTTGCATTTTAAGACTGAGTCATAAATTCTATGGTGTAATTACATTTCTGTAGTCTTTAATTTTTTCATTTAAAGATCACACATCCTGATTCTATGAATACGTGTTCAGTGCTTCCCCTGAGTGGGCAGAAGAGTATTTCAGCACATTACTAGAAAGTTCCTTTTTATCTGTAAATTTCTCTGAAGTTTCAGATTTCATTTCAACTGCTGATTGCTATATTGACATTATAATTACATGCTAGAACAAGAATAATAACTACAGAAGGCCAGATTCTTGGCTAAAGCCCATTCAGTAAAACATTTCAGTCTTAAAATCAAAAAAAAACTTTTTTTTTTTCAGTGGGTGATGACTTCATCTCAAGAAATGTAGTAGGAAACTGAAAGCAATACATTTTTCAGTGTCAGTTTGTACAGGAAGCAAAAAAGATTTTTCATGTTTTTGTAATTGATCTAGAACTTCAGTCTTAATATAGATTATGTGAAAAGTAGTTGGAGAAAAAGAACAAAAATTGCATGAAATTTGCACAGCTTTTCAAAATCACAATCTGTTACCACATTTTATGCAGTAAATACTTCCGCACCTTAATTTGATTAATTATTATTAAATGATTAAGTATGATTTTTTTGGGGTGAAATAGATGTGGTTCTTCAAATATGCTGGTATAAGAGCAGTATCTAGGCAGTATATTTAGGAAACTAGGCAGTATATTTAGGAAAATATAATGCCTTTCTCATAACAAGTAAAGGATTTTCCTTGTGTAACTTCTCATTTATACAGCACTGCTTGGTAAAATCATGAAGAGTAGGGAATTATGAGCTTGTGTACTTTTTGTTCTGTTGTAATGAATTGGTTAAAAACAATTGTTCTTAATGAGCACTTAATATCTCTTTATTTTTAAAATCCTGTACCTCAAGAGCAGTTTAATTGTTTTTTGCTCTGCAGTGAGCATATGAATTACAGGTTTTTCTGTTCTGTGTTGTCGATTATTTAATAACGAAATTGGATTTTTATTCAGTTATTTGTGCTTTCACTAATACATTTTTTCCTCAGCCATTAATATGCCATTGATTAATTAAATTGAATTCTTCATTGAATTTTGTTCTAATTTAGGAAAGGTAAATATGTGAAAACAACACAAGAAACAAAATAAACTCCAAGATATCCTTGGCTTTAATTTGTACAGGGGTTTGTTGATGGTGCACCCTGATGACCATGGAATCATAGCATGGGTTGGGTTGGAAGGGACCTTAATGACCATGTAATTCCAGCCCAGTGTGGCATCTCATGTTCCCAGGGAAGGACCAACCTTCTGGGGCTGGGGGCTTTGTGAGGGAGAGTTGGATTCAATTTTATGTTGAATATCTCACTTGACAGTTGATGTTTGCACACTTAGAGGGACTATTCAGTGGAACAGCCAAAGCAAATTGGAGCTGGAAGTTGGCCTGATAAAGAAATGCCAAGTTTCTGGCAGGTTCTGACATGAGGTGGAGGGACAGAGTGTCTGTAACCTGCCGTGGGGACAGCAGAGCTGTGCCTGCAGGTGGGGGCTGAGGGTACAAGCTCTGCAGTTCAGCTCTTACACAAAGTGTGTCACTTCTCAGTCACTCCCTCCTTGTCAGTGCCGAGCTTAAGAGACTTGTCAGATCTGATGTGGAAACTGGGGGTTGTTCCCTTCCTGAACAGCAGAAAATGCCTCAAAGTGCCTCTGGCTTCTGTGCACTGCAGCTGAGCTCTCCTGTGCCCTCTGGCCTTGCTTGGGCTCTTTTAGTGTGAGATTTTGCCTTGAGGAAATTAAATTCTTTTGTCCCATCTTGCTGTCAGATTTTTTGCTCCAAAACATTTTTCTGCTCGTTATTTGTGGTAATGTTTCGCACTAACAAAGTACCTGTGTGCTTCTCCACTATCACCCCCAAAATGAGGTCTGCCCTTGAAGATTCTCAGTTTTCTTTGGTTAATGTTGAGAAAGATAACACATTTTTAGTGTTCCTGCACTGATGCATTTCCTCAATTGCCTTTTTGAAAAAAATCTCATATTTTTTCAACACTTTTGGAAGGTTTTGAACAAATAATCAGCTATGAGATATATAGATAATACTGCCTTATCATATACAGAGAGATTCCTATATAACCTAAAATCCACTCCTCATAAGTCTCTTTAATAATATATGCAATTAATATGCATAGAGCTATATGACACCTTAATATATCCAAGCATGGATATGATAATGGGATACTGTTATTTTACTTGGTTATCATAGGGCCTGAGTTTCAAAATACTAGTAAATTTTGAGATTTTGCATTTATGTAAATTTACTGTTATAAGCAAATAGGTTTTTTATGATACATTAGAGTCTAATGTTTTTTCAGCATTTGAGTTCAGGGATATTATTTCTGCACTTATATATGAAATTATGTAATTAGTGGGGTTGCAGCCAAAGTAGATACGACACAGACTCTCTCACTGCCAAAGTACAGGATTTTTTTCTTCTCAGTTAAAAATTTTATATTCAAAACATTACCCTCTGTTGCTTTTTTTGTAAACACTCAAAAAGTAGAATTTGGAATCTCTTATTTCAGGGCTACAAAGTTCAGGGAGAAAAGATACCTGGTTTTGATACAAGTGTAAGCTCTGCAGTAGTTACAAACAGATCTTAATTAAAAACTTCTGCCTCATCTCTGTGCTGTCTGGATAACTGAGCTAATTAAAGTTGTCTTAATGAAATGTTTCTTCTAAGATCCATTTGCATTTTACAAGCAAGCAGATACATTAGCATTTCTTACATTGTGTTGGACTGAGTAGAGCAGTCACATTTAATTTTCAGTTGTATGAGTGAGACGGCACCAATTCAATGCTGGGACCTTTTTGAAATTCTTGTGGTTATGTTAAATTCATAAAATAACAATTGCCACAATGTGCAGCTATTTTTCTTTTTCTGGTATGTCATCCAGTGACTGGATGTGCAACCAGTACAGCTTTCAAAGTGGTTTCCTGCTTTGATACTGTACAGACAGCCCTTAATGAGCTCTCCCTGCCTGGCACTACTGCCCATGTGAATAAATGGTTTTACAGTAGACAGGAAAAGTCAATTAATTTGTTATTAATTACATTCTGAGGCATGAAGTAAAAGAGAGTTTAAAATATAGTAAGTTCATTTTGTATTTGTCCAGTGAATTGTTTTTTTTTAATTATGCAGCCATGGAATCTGAAGTTGACTTTCTTGCAGAGGTGATCTTCTATAAGCTTTGTTTTGAATTCAGACAAAATCTGTCTGACACTTGTTTAATTTTTTTTCCCTGAATTATGAAATCCTCAGTTTCTGGTGAAATAGGTTGCTTAGTTACTGTGGCAGTTGTAGTAGAAGCTAGATGATCTAATTTCAGTTACTTGGTAGAAAGATCCATGTGAAAGTCAAACTTCAGAGCCTGTCAGTGATGTGAAACTAAACCTAATAAATCGTGTATTTAGGCTGCACCTAATAAATTGTATATTTAAATACCTGTTTCACAAAAGTTCAATATCTGTGACTTGTGTTTACTAGTTGGACAGTTTGCATAGAAGGCTGTTAGGTAAATTGGGTGAATTTCTGACTCACATGTGACATTAAGAAGTATCTGAGAAATCTCACTCTTTACAGAGCATTTTTGTATAACAATCATGTAAGTTTAGGGGTTTATATCTATTTGTTCTAACAGTTAAAGTAAGCAGTAATCCTTAATTTTGATTTTTTTCTCTTTTTTTTTCCCACCAAATAATGAGTTGTTTAACTGTTCTCTAGGACATGCAGCAGTCAAATATTAGTAACAGAAATAAGGCAAAGATTTGGGATGATGGTTAGGCATGCTAAAAAATTTGGAAGTTTGTGTTTGTAAATTGGTATGAGCCAGTCTCCTCAAACTTACTCATTTTTCTGATTTTACAGAACTTGTGCTGTTCTCAGGCTGTGTTATTTTTCTGCTTAATGGTTTTGTTTTGTAAGAAGTGTGAGAATTCTCTTGTAATGAGTACTCTTTTTTTTTGTTGGACAGTTTAAATTGTGTAGGATAAAATAAAGAGTTTTCAGTATTTCTAATGATGCTTTTGATTAGCCCCAGATACTCTGTCACAAATCAGAATTCTACAATCCTGAAAGAAGCTGAAACAAAGGAGTTTTTTCACTGTTGTCCTATCAATGTGTTTTTCTTAGAAGTAAAGTTGCAGTAAATGCTGAAGAGAAAACTGCAAAGCTTTTATAACTAAGAAACAGAGAACTGGTAAAATTAACGAGCCTACTGAACTTTGCCATTGCTTGTTCTAATTTGAACTGCTGTCACTTAGGAAAGGTTTGTAGCAGAGAACCTGCTGAAATTGGAACAATGTCTTTTCCTGTATCTGTCATAAGTAAAAATAAGAAAAAACTATTTTATAGGCACCAAGACAATGCATTTTGACTCATGAAATGTCAATTGCAGCTGTACTAACTGCCTTTATTTCCCTAGATTGCTAGTCATAGTGGATATGTACAAGTTGACTGGAAGAGAGTTGAAAAAGATGTAAACAAAGCAAAAAAACAGTTGAAAAAACGTGCAAATAAGGCAACTCCTGAAATCAACACTCTAATTGAAGAGGTGAGTCTAAGGTGATAAACTCCTTTTTGCCAGTCAGATTTTCTTACCTTCCACTGCCAGTGATAATGAGTTGAAAATGCAGATGCAAACCTTGAACACATCAAAAATAGTTTGGCTTACTAATAGTATATTTAAATAGTAATTTATCAAGGTTACCAGACTGTGCTGTCTTTTATTCATTTAGCTTTCTGTTTTAGCCACTGTTAAAAGTGACACACGAACTTGTTCTTGGCAGGTGACAAAGCCAATAAGGTCATGACATGGTAAAAAGTTCAGGATGGTGTGGGTAAAACATTAACTACAAAAACAAACCCCAAATCTTCTTAGACTGCTGATAATAAAATTACTTGTCTAGACAAGAATGACTTTTCTGCAGAAAAGCTGTAGTTACTTTGTAATAGGAGTTGTGATTTTATCTAATTTTATACATTTTGGAGAATATCTGTCTTCAGAATCTGCCAGTTGCCTACTATGTTGAGTAGAGATAGCTGTGATACTGATTAGTGTCATGGGGGCTGTTTCACCCTGTCATTTGAAGACTTCCATTTAATCAATTTTGTGGTTGTTTGGGGTTTTTTAAAACCTGTTTTCACATATTTTCATGTTCCATACATGCAATCTAAGTTTCATTCTGAATAACTGAGAATTGTGACTGGGAATGTGTTGCAGATAGCGAAACAGCAGCCACACTGGTGTTCTGTAATTAATGAGTTTTGACATCTCAAGTTTAACTTGTATGGAGTTGCATATAGATTGATAAAAATTATCTTAAATTTTAATATGAATATGAACTGAAAGTTCAAGATTGAGGGTTTTCTTGCTTCTTCTGTACTTCAGATAGCTTAACGTCTCCTTCTCCATCGCCCTGTAGAAATGGGTGGGATAGGATGGGGTTTTCCTTTGATTTTTTTCTTCTCAGATTATATGACTCTTTTGTCACTGTGTGTTAGTTGCAAATCTGAAGTGTTTGAAGCAGAGTATTTATAAAATGACACATTTGGTAAAAGCTGTTTTACTCTGTGCTGCTACTTCATGAAATATTCTATACCCATGTCATCATACATAAGTAGTTTTTTCTAAGATTAAGTTGTTAGGAAACTGGCTCATAATGGAGTGTATTTCTTTTCCAGTGATCTTCAAAAAAAGCAGTATTTTCTTTTTAAACAATTGTCATATGATTGCAATTGAAGTCATGGTGGTACTCATGCTTTTTTTGACAAGGTAGTTTGTAAAACATCTGTCTTGTTTTAATCAAAACAAGAGTGGTATTGGCATGAAATTGCTGTAACAATTCCTCTGTATTTTGACTTTTAAAAGGCTCACTGTGTTTTAAATATGTCATTAAAGATAGTTGAGAGTCAGTTTGCACTATATTGCTGCCACCTATTTTTATATGGTTTTAGACACATCACTTCCCCCTGCACCCTTCTCCACAATTTAATGTCCTTGTTTCCAGGAAGTTGTAATAAGTATTAATTAATAAAGTCAGATACAATTAACTTCATTAATATTGTTTTTCTTCTCAGTCCACAGAATTTATCAAGCAGAACATCGTGGTGTCCAGTGGGTTTGTTGGAGGCTTTTTGTTGGGGCTGGCATCGTAAGGACCCGAACGTCTCTTCCTGATGGGATCCGTGTTGGCCAAGATCAGCTGTGGTGCCACGCTGTCTGCAAGCAGTGTGGGTCACTGGGCCTGCCAGAGTGAGACAAGTGGACTAGCTAGACAACTTGGGAGCTTTTGCATTTCAGGCTTTTGCCTCTTGAAGCTTGGCAAAACTAAGATTTGCTGAAAAACTGTGCAGTGTGCTCATTTTATAGCATTTCTGGGCAAAACTGGTTCATCCTCATCATGACTTGGTATATCTGGCCTTTCAAGATTTAGCATTTTTTAAAATGTTATCTTGGAATATAGCTATGTAACCATATGATAAGAATGAAAGCTCCATTTCTATGTTTTCAGTTAAATACTGTTTATTTAAAAAGTATTTTTCTTCATGCTGTAGTAGGTAGTATCAATGACTACATACTGTATATGATATTGTAGTTTCAGCCTCCTGGCTGTGCATCTTCTTTAGAAGTCACTGCAATAATCTGTAATACCTTTTTACAGAGTATTAAATAACAAAGAATCATGGGCTTATTAAAGGTGAAAATTAACTTAGACTGGCCTTTGTGTACATAGAAAATAAGAAAGCCTTTCAGTTATAGCCTGCAGGTACCTGATGGCAGTGTTTGCCCAGACAGATTTTTAAGGTGGTTTTAGTGATTTGTTACCAAGTTATTCTAAAGAAGCTGAACATCCAAACAAGCACTCAGTGCATTTTTCTGCATTACAAACTTGTGAACCTTTCAGAAATTTCTACACAAGGAAGAGTTTGCTCTGCCCCAATTTCTCTGGTTTTTGCTGTAGCAGCAGATGAATGTGAACTGAATCTCTCCCACCAAGGTTCTCTTGGGTTCCTGTTCCCTTCTGTGAACAGCAGTAGTAGTTCAGTAGTATTAGATGGATGGATGGGTGGGTGTGAGCTTGGGATGCACAGGACATGGGATGTTGGACATACTAACCTAAATATTTAGATTTGTGCATCCCTTGGCTCCAGAGGTTTGTATTACATGTTGACCTTATGTTTGTGGTGTACTTGTGGCCAAGGTGAGTAAGGTGTGAAGCATGTCCTGCATACCTCTGAGCATTAAGGGTTTCATCAAGCCTGGTTAAGCCTTTGGAAAATAAATCTTAATACACACACCCCCAAACCAAACCAAACCAAACCCCCAAACCCAAAGTACATGGATCCTAAATGTTTTAAAGTGAATATCTGAAATTATATAAGCACAGTTGCAGTTTGTTGGAAATGGGAAGCCCAAGGAGGAATGTGTCTACTGGGTTATCTGGGATTTAGAGTAAAACAAAGAAAGATGAAAATGTTAAAATGTGAAAGCCTTTGCCGTGATGTTCAGCCCAAAGAATAATGCGAAGGTAACCAACCAGTCAGCTTTTTCCTGCTGATGAAGCTCATGGGTTTTTGGCACGTCCAGAGGGTACTGAAGCCAACTGATGTGAGTCATCCACTCTGACTGGAATGAACTGGGCATCCTGAAGGGCTTTGGGGATTAAGTGACCACCTCAGTACCATGAACCTGTAAATATGCATTTTTTGTGTACTTTATGAAAGGATTTCAAAGGAGGATCCTTTAGTGAGCTTGTTAAAAAGACTGCTCATGTGACCAGGAAATTTACTTCATTGTTAGAAGTAGAATTAAAACCAAAAGTACTAGTAGGATGCAAGACTGTTTTCTGCAGAGGAAAGTAGTTCTGCTATTCTGTTGTCATCATCTGAGATTTTCAATCAATGGATCAAGAATTGATTGAAACACATTTGAGCCTTCTATAGGGTTTTTTTTTGGTTTTGTTTTGTTTTTAAGTTTTTATTTTTTTAAGCCTTTGGAATAAGAGACATAATGTTGTACATGTCAAACTGTCTGAGGAACTAAAAAGGCAAGGAGAAATGGTGTTACTGAAAAGATGAACACTGGTAGTTTGTACTGGGATTGGCTTCATGTCCTGGACTCCTGACTGGAAGAGGGGAATGGCTGTTGGCACGGCAGGACTTGCTGATGCAGTTCCTTGGGCAGGGAAGGCAGAGGGGATGCTGCCAGCAGCTCCAGGTACAGCTGGCAGGGTGAGGTGGTGATGGAGTGGCAGCTGTGGTAAAGGACCAAGGTAAGTGCAGCTTTTCTTGCAAATACCTGAGATTTTTGTATGTGCCACAGTGTCACCTGTGCGAGGGACTGCTCTGTAAAGGTACAGTCAAAAAATGGATGTTGATGGGGTTGGAATGGAGTGTAACAGGAATATTGGGTTTCTGGCAGTAAAGTCTGCTCTGGGATGATTTCAGAGTTACTGTTGCCCTCTCTGACAAAAAATAGTCCAGGCTAAGAAGATAGAGAGTAGAAAGGCTGGTAAGCCTGGCACTGGTTGCCCAGAGCAGCTGTGGCTGCCCCATCCCTGGAAGTGTCCAAGGCCAGGCTGGACAGGGCTTGGAGCAGCCTGGGAGAGTGGAAGGTGTCCCTGCTCGTGGCAGGGGCGTTGGAACTGGATGATCTTTAGGGTCTCTTCCAACCTAAACCATTCCATGATTCCATGATTCTAAAGAAAAAAAATGGAATAAAAATTTTTGAAGAACTTTTTTGGGGGGGGGTGTGGGGGGGCGGGAATCAGTTTTAGAAAACTGATTAAGAAGGAAGGTGCTAGAAATACTTAAATTAATGAGAGGCTGACCCAGCATTTCTATGGTTTTTATTGTATAGCTGTAGAACTTAAAGGTGGAAGACATGGACCTGGCAGTGGGAAACAGCTTTCCATAATGCCCGATGGGTCTGTGGAATTAATTTCTGCTGTGTGCTGCTGAGACCAAGGAAGAGCCCTTCATTCAGGGAAAGATGGGGTTACATTGCAAGAGTCTCAGTTATATCTAACAGTGGGAGAAAAAACACTTCAGGTTTCTCTGGCCATGGTTAATATTGTTTGGTGCAGTTCACAATGAAATTCCAGCTGATCTTACCTTTTCCCTCTACAGGCTTGTGTAAATTTTTTTCCCTCAAGTATCTGTTAGCAGCCACTTTTCAAAGTTGGATGCTAAGATAATGATTGAGGAAGGCATGGCACATATCCCTCTAGTGAACAGCTTTTGAAAGCTTATTAACTAGTGCATTTGGGGAGAGATTGCTAATAAATCATCTATTTGTTTTCTGTTATCTTAATGGGATAATCTATTTCCTGAAATAATTTATTTTTAGTTAAAGAAGCATTGGGCAGTACATTTTAATTTAAGGTGAGATGCCACTGTGATCTTATTACTGAATTTTAAGAGGCCAGAATTTGGCTGAAACTTTGAAGGCTGTTTCTGCTTCAGCAGCCAGACTGAGAATTAAAATGTTGTAGTTAAAAGATAGAGCTGCCTCCCAGATTCAAGTACATTTGTCATAAGGGCTTAAGAAGAAGAGAGGCAAACAGAATAAAATGTAGGAGTCAGGACTGTAATTCAGTAATTCTGCCTGTGCAGACTCCATAAATTACAGTGAATTCAGTAATGTGAAAAAGCATCAGTAAATGCCTCCCTCTAACCTTTTGAAAATTGTTGGAAATCTCAAAGAATTACTTTAAAAACCAAACTTTTATGATATGCAGCTCCCTGGGGTCTGTAGGTGATAGTGGAAAAAGATAATGTTCACTCAAACTAGAACAGCATGATATTTTGGAAGGGAGATTGGGAACCAAAAAAACCCCCAAAAAAGTTAATGCACCCTACGACTGTGCATGGGCTCAGTAAGTGGTGGGAGAGAACAAGAATCAAATCTAGCAGGAGAAGGAGGTGCCATCCTCCCTTGTTGGATTGGGAAGCAGGTCTGATGCAGTGATGTCCCAGCTGTGGGACATGTGGAAGAGCTGGTGTTTTTTATTTTGGGGTAGTTTGGGAAATGAGTCAGCTGACATTCATCAGGACTTGTAAGACTGGAAGCCAGTTTTAATTAAGATGATTGTGAGGTGAGTGTGCACAAAACATCTGGTGCTGATACAGCATAGCCTGAACCTTTGGTTGTGTTTGGTCCCACATTCAAGCTTAGAGGCATCTAAATCTTGGAGTGCTGTGGGAGGTGGCACAGAGGTGTAATAAGGGATTTTGTCTCACAGCCTGGTCTGGACACAGCACAGCCAACTCCAGCACAACTGCTGATAGGCTTGGACTAGGAAATCTTGCTGGACCTAGGCTGACTCCAATTCATAGCTTGGGTAAACCAGTGCAGTGGTACAAATTTGAGTAGTTCATGAATTCCACACTCAGAGGTTTTCTGCCTCCCTCTCCCCTTTTCCCAGTTCCTCAGAGCAGTCTGTGTTCCTGCCTCCCTGCTATAGTTTTGCCTGCCTTCTGTTTTTTTCACAGCTCCTTGGAACAGAGCACCACATCATATGCTGAGCTGTGAAAAAGAGGAAATGCAGTGCTTCAAAATGAGGTGAAGTTGGGAATAAATCCCACAAGTCAGCTCAGCTGTGGGACTTCCCGACAGCTAATGCCTCTGGCTTACCTCAGGGAAGCTGGAGGCCACATTCCATTTCCTGGGAAACCTCTCCTCCTTCCTAGAGCAGTGCCCTACCTTCCAAAGCAGAAGGTATTTTGGTGTGAGATAACTTGGTCTCTGCTGCTGACACATTCTGGGGTGTGGATGTATCTCAATGTTCATGGAGCATGGACAGGAACTTGGTCTGGTTACCTCAAAGTTTACCTGGAGGCATTTGTTAACAGCTGAATGAGCTGCTTGAGGTGGGAATGCTCCAACAGGAAGAAAGGAAAGCAGGTTACACCCAGGATATTTTGCTGCCCATTTGGTAGGATGCTTACCTGGGAACTGGAGTATATTGTTATACATTCAGTCCTTGATAAGGCTTTTTTGGTTTCACTATCAAACCACACAAAATCAAATCCTCATAGCCCTAATCTGTACAAAAACCCGTTTCTGCACATGTGGACTGTATATTAAAAAAAACAAAACCACATAATATAAAATATTAATCCACAAAGAGAATTGAGTATTGAGCTATATGATTCTCATTTAATGTAGATAATTTGAACTTTTGTCCCAACAAGAGACTCTCAAACACTTGCCATACACATTCATGGGACCTGAAGAATTAGGACCAATATATCTAGCATGATTTGTAATTGAACATCTTATTTTCTTGAAGTATTAATGGTGAAGTAGAGGTTATTCTGTTTTCTTCTGTGCTTAACAGACACCAAATTCATACTGCAGCCAAATTACAGATTTTTATTTACTGATTTCAAATCCTCTCCAGTGAGGCAATCAAAATGCCTTGATAGCCTACGTGTTGCTGAGACAGAAATCCAAGCCAAAATACATCTGAATTAATCTGTAAATGTAAGAAAACCCTACAGATGTGTGAAAAGAATGTTTGAAAATCAAGAGTTGCCAAATATTATTTCGAAATCCACTTGGGACAATAAAGAGGAGGAAGGAAAATTCACAGCAATCAAGGAGTCAACATTCTTAATGCTCTTAGTGTATGATTGTTAAAAATATTGAGAATGCCTTTCTATGGCGTTAATAATGTTTTTTCTATTTATATGGAATATAAATGCACAAGCTTCAG